GAGGAGGAGGAGGAGGAGGAGGAGGAGAGAGGGAGGAAGGAATGGGAGGAGGAGGAGGAGGAGGAGGAGGAGAGGGAGGAAGGACAGATGGAGGAGGAGGAGGAGGAGGAGGAGGCGAGGAGAGATGGAGGAGGAGGATGGGGAGAGGGAGAGGAGGGGAGGAAGGACAGGAGGGAGGGAGGAAGGAGAGGAGGGAGGAAGAGGAGGGATGAGGGGGAGGAGGATTGAGGGGAGAGGGAGGACAGAGGGAGGGAGAGGAAGGAGGGAGGAAGGACGGAATGGAGAGAGGGAGGAGGAGAGGGGGAGGAAGGAGAGATGGAGGAAGGAGGGAGAGAGGGAGAAGGAGGAGAGATGGAGGAGGAGGAGAGGGAGGGATGGAGGGAGGAAGAGGAGGGATGAGGGGGGATGGAGGAAGGAGAGATGGGGAGGGAGAGGAGGAGGAGGGAGGGAGGAAGGAAATGGGAAGAGAGGGAAGAAGAGGAGGGACGGAGGGGGAGGAGGAAGGAGAGCTGGGGAGGGAGGAGGAATGGAAGGAGAGGAGGAGGAGGAGGAGGAGAGAGGGAGGGAATGGGGAGAGGAAGGGAGGGGTGGGAGGAGAGAGGGAGGAAGAGGAGGGAGGGAGGAAGGAGAGATGGGAGGGAGGAGGGAGGAGGGGAGAGAGGGACGGGAGGAGGGGGAGAATGGAGGGAGGAGGAGGAGAGAGGGAGAGAGGAAGAAGAGAGATGGAATGGAGGAGAGAGGGAGAGGGAGGGAGAAATGGAGGGGGAGGAGGAGGAGGAGAGGGAGGGATGGAGGAAGGAGGGAGGAGGATTGAGGGGAGATGGAAGGCAGGAGGGAGGGAGGAGAGGAGAGATGGAGGAAGGAGGGAATGGAGGGAGGGAGGAGGGAGAAATGGAGGGAGGAAGAGGAGGGACGGAGGGGGAGGAGGAGGAGAGAGGGAGGAAGGAAATGGAAAGAGAGGGAGGAAGAGGAGGGAGGAGGATTGAGGGGAGATGGGGAGGGAGGAGGGAGGGAGGGAGGAAGAGGAGGGACGGAGCGGGAGGAGGAAGGAGAGATGGGGAGGGAGGAGGAATGGAAGGAGAGGAGGAGGAGGAGGAGAGAGAGAGGAAGAGGAGGGATGAGGGGGAGGAGGATTGAGGGGAGAGGGAGAGGAAGGAGAGAGGGAGGAAGGAGGGAGAGAGAGAGAGGGAGGGAGAAATGGAGGGAGGAAGGAGGGACGGAGAGGGAGGGAGGAAGGAAATGGAGGAGGAGGAGGAGGGGGAGGAGGATTGAGGGGAGAGGGAGGACAGAGGGAGGAAGGAGGGAGAGAGGGAGAGGGAGGGAGAAATGGAGGAGGAGGAGGGAGGAAGAGGAGGGATGAGGGGGATGGAGGAAGGAGAGATGGGGAGGGAGAGGAGGAGGAGAGAGGGAGGAAGGAAATGGGAAGAGAGGGAGGAAGAGGAGGGAGGAAGGAGGGAGGAGGATTGAGGGGAGATGGGGAGGGAGGAGGGATGGAGGGAGGAAGAGGAGGGACGGAGGGGGAGGGAGGAAGGAGAGATGGGGAGGGAGGAGGAATGGAAGGAGAGGAGGAGGAGGAGGGGAGAGGGAGGAAGAGGAGGGACGGAGGGGGAGGGAGGAAGGAAATGGAGGAGGAGGAGGAGGGGGAGGAGGATTGAGGGGAGAGGGAGGACAGAGGGAGGGAGAGGAAGGAGAGATGGAGGAAGGAGGGAGGAGGGAGAAATGGAGGGAGGAGGAGGAGGAGGAGAGAGGGAGGAAGGAGGGAGGGAGGAAGAGGAGGGATGGAGGGAGGAGAGATGGAGGTCGGGGAGAGAGTGAGGAAGAGGAGGAGAGATGGAGGAGGAGGATGGGGAGAGGAAGAGGAGGGAGGGAGGGAGGAAATGGAGGGATGGAGGGGGAGGAGGAGGAGAGGGAGGGGGAGGGGGAGGAAGGCCGGGGGAGATGGCGAGGCCACGCCCCCGCCCCTCCCCCCAGGGCCTGGAGCTCCGCCCCTCCCCCCGCGGGTGGGGCCGGCGCAAAGAGCGCGAGCGGCTGGAGGAGATGAAGCAGGAGCTGGAACTGGTGCGGACTGGTTTGGACTGGTTTATACTGGGAGGGACTGGGAGGGACTGGGAGGGAACTGGGAGGGACTGGGAGG